TGTAGCCCAAACTGTAACCACAGGCCCAATCTGTCAACAGCTAAACAAATCACATTTTTTCTAGAAGGCCCTTGCATTTTAGTTTTGCCATTCTGTTCTGGCATCAGAATTAGGCTCTTGTGTTAAGGTTTTTATCTTTAATCTACCTCCTACTTTATTATCCTTGTTTCAGCTTTACTCAATCTGCATGAAGTGGGTATTTGAATGCTTACAGATGTAGTTTTTATTTCAGCTGGAGGATTACAGAGCTTTTGTGTGGCTTTGCATTTTCAGGGTTGAGAGGCTAGGCAACTGATGTGGTAAGAGCAGCTGAACTGACAACCTTTCATTGCTGGGTTTTTCTTTTGTTTTTAAAAACAAAGCTCAGAAGTCCATCACCAAATTGCCTCTAAGTACTGAAAAACACTGAATGCTGCATAACAACCACACACATTTGTTTTAGCTATTGCAGAAAAACAGAAACAACAACAAAATTCTTCATTGTTTGGCAATAATTGGCCATTGTTAGCTGTCCAAAAGAGAAATGGGGGCTGCTAGGAAAGACAAAAAGGCATCCTTGAAGGAAGTCCCAACTAAAAGATAGCAAATGCTAACCATTTGTACTGTAATGAAACCTAATATTCTTCTGTGTTCTCACAAGAAGCTCATATTTCTGACATCATATTCCATACTTTTTTTTTAAAAGGAAAGTCAGTTTTTCAAAAGGTCTAGTTGGGGTTTGAAATGATGTATCTGTTGCAAAAGATGCCCATAAGAGAAAAAAGACCAAAACAAACCTGTGTCCATAGTCTAAACATGTGTGGAGTACTTTGCAGGGTTGTTCAGTCAGTTCAAACATTTGTTTCTTTGACTAATGCTTGAACTAAGATTCCCCTTTGAGAACTTTAATAAGGAGGACTCCCTGGCTTCATTTATTTCTTCTTCTTTTAAGTGGTAAGTGCAAGCAGCCAACCATAAGCTACACTTTGTACAGGTTGCATAACACTGATTTGTAAGCTCATACATAGTGCATTATGAATTCATTAATGGCAGGTTGCAAACTGACAAATAAAGTAACACCAGCTCGTTCAAGCTTTTAACAGCTGAATTCACAACCACGATGAGAAATTTGGGTCCGTGCATTGTGAATGGATGAGATTCAAATTCCATATTCATGTGTTCCACTTTCAACAATAATGGAGAAAACAGTGGTTCATGTGGAAGGAGCAACAAGATTGTAAGCCCCAAGTTAACCTCTGCTTGTTCAGCTACAGCCATTTTCCTGGCATCCAAGCTATACAATCCAGTTTCTTTTTCTTAGTTACATTTTTTTTTTTGGCATGCTTGTCCACTTCTCTACTCAAAGAACTACAATTCTTTTTTTCCTCAATTCCATGGAGGCCCAAGACTCTACCAACTAGGTCATTTTTAGATCATTGGTATTTCTTATTTTTCCTGATAGTTTTGCACCACCCAAAATGATTATTGTTTTTTCTTTTCTTCAAAACATCCAAAACCTCTTAGATTTTGTTACCTTTTCCCCCTTCATTTTTTTTGTTTTGTTATAAACAATGAAACATCTTGAATGAACTGATAATATGTACCATAAAAGAAGGACTACAAAATGACGACAGGTTCATTGGAATAAGCTACATTTTCTCACTGTTAATACTGGTTTTGTGACCTGTCAGCCTCAGCTGGATGTGGAGAGGTTCTGTGCTGCAAAAGATGGAATCTTGCTCTGGGAAGGGGCAGCCAGCTCACTTTTCAAACTGTGACCCCTTCCTCCCATTAGCCTTGGAACAAATCATACAGTGGTTTAAATTGTGGTGATCTGATGTCCTTGTGTTTTCCTTCCTCATCGGTGACCTTTGTTTATGGGAAACAACTCAGATAAGCATATCACCTCTAGTACAATTTAGCAAAATTTGTTTGTGGAAAGATTATTGTGCGCATTCAGCCTCCTTTAGAAAGCTGGGTCATTTCTCTAATATTATATTTCTCTTATATTGCAAACTTAGGTCTCCCACTCAGAATTTTCAGGGATCCAAAGAGCACACACCTAAAGACTTCCATGCTTCTTGCTAATTTTCTCTTTCCTCTCTAGCTGCTCGCAACAGGTTCCACATCGTGCTTTTCTGTTTTGTGTGTTGGGAGGGGGGTAAGGACTCTCACTGGTGGCAGCCAGCATGGCAAATGGTCAGGAATGATGGGAGTTTTAGGTCAGCCACATTTGGAGGACCGTTTCCCTATGCCTGCTGTAAAAGATTCTGGGATGTTCCAAAATTTATCTTTAGGAGATTAATAAAGATGATATGGTTACACAATGGTAGCGATTGTTATATTGCTAATGGAAGAATGGAAATGTCATTTCAGTATGCTATACAGACAGCTCTGTGTCCTCTTCTCTTACTTCTTCTGTTTTACCTTGAGAATGAGCTCCAGAACAGGGAGCCAAAATTGAAGCCACTTGAAAGAGATGAAACTATGGATCTGATGGGCTTATGCAGGTTTTCCCCCTGAAGGAGAAGCTTATTCTATTGCTGTTTCCTTTTTTAGAGAAAACTCGTTGAATTTCTGCATGCCATTCAGCAGCTGAAGGAATAGAAACCCTTCCTTCATTTGTCTTGTATTATCTTTACAGGAAACATTTACTGCCTTCATTTTAAAGGGACTTTGCCTCAGTAGGTGATTTTATAATCTCCCCCACCTCAACCTTTACAACAAATTCTTCTCTCAGGGTTTCATAATTCCTCATTTCCTTAGAGGGGATTTTATGTAAGAAGAAATTTTCTAATTTCCTTTTTCATGGATTCTTTTTTGTGTTCAGAAGAGTTGTTCCTTCTTAGAAGGTTGCCTCTCGAGAGAGTTTCTTTTTAAAAGAAATTATATGTGTCCAAATAATTTTGGTGGTTGCCATTCTTCAAGAATTTTATAAAAGGGATGTCTTCAAAGAAACTCTGGCCTATGTTTGGTTGGACTCATTCCAAGCTTTTCCACCAAACATTCCAAGTTTCCCAGCAACATAGTTTATCAAGTCCTATCTTAAGTCTGCCTCATTCTCCGCTGCTTCTGAAGTTGTGGTGGTGCTCACCTCAAAACTCCAGTAAGGAGCTGAGTCAGCATCTTTGGGCTACTCTAGCAGCCATGCCTCACCTTCTCTGGCACAGCTGTGTCAGATCTAGCAAAAGTGTGGGAGTTGAAGCTGTTTCCAGCTGCCTCTCCATATATATATATAACAAGGCTTGATCTTCAAGAGAAGCAATGGGAGTTGAAGATGCTTTACTTTTTACTTACACATTGCGCAGGAAAGCAGCTGCCACAATTTTGTTGTGCATGCACACACTGTGTGTGTGTGTGTGTGTGTGTGTGTGTGTGTGTGTGTGAAAAGACACACACAGAGAGACATGTTGTTAAGTGCATGATCACCAGTCAGTTTTTAGGTGCCTCGTCCCAAGGATGGAGACAGAACCCGCTGGAGAAAACGGCACACTGCATGGAAAAAAAGAACATTGCTTCGTTCCCTCCATCTCTCATTCCATATGAAATGACAGGTGGACTGAGTGGGAGCAATGTGAAAATTAATGTGGAGAGGATTGGTGACTCAGCAATGACTGTAAAGTCAAGCAATCTCCTCAGACGTTTTGGCACACAGCTACTCTTCAGCTTGTCCATAGATTACAATAGGCCATTTTGTGGGTGGGACCAGGTAGGAGAGGGGTCAAGAGGAAGTGGTTGTTGCTCACCATCACAGAGGAGGATTCTTAAGCAGTTTACCTGCGGTTTTATTCGGAGGCCAACAGAGGAGAGAAGGAAAGCTGTGTTTCTGTTTCAAGCACTGTGTTTGAAGAGTACTTTCATAATAAATCAGATTCCTATTTTAACAGTTACAGCCCAATTCTACAACCAACTCTCACATGCTTCAGCTATGGCAGCTTGTTTTGAGCAGAACAGAGTAGTAAGAGTCAGTGTGGTGTTGTGGTTCGAGTCCTGCTCTAGAGCCAGGGAGACCAGGGTTCATATCCCCACTTGGCCGTGAAGCTTGCTGGGTGACCTTGGACCAGCCCCTACCTCACAGGGTGGTTGTGAAGATAAAAATAGAGATGGGAGAACCTTGCACACAACCTTCGGCTCCTTGGATGAACAGTGGGATGTGAATGAAAAAAATAATAATAATGCAGGTAATGAATATAGTTTTGAAACAGCTGCCACTGAGAATTATAGATCTTTGATCATTCAGGGGGAAATAAAAGAATGAACGGTGTCTGGACTTGCAGGATTTACTGCCAAATCCTATGTATATTTACCCTGCGTTCAGCTGAATTAAATGGAACTTAGTCATGCTGGCCACATGATCTGGAAGCTGTACGCCGGCTCCCTCGGCCAATAAAGTGAGATGAGCGCCACAACCCCAGAGTCGGTCACAACTGGACCTAATGGTCAGGGGTCCCTTTACCTTTACACCCCGTATAGGATGCCTGGGAACCTGTGGTACGAATGTGCTACATCTGTTGTGGACATTTCATTTAGGAGGTAGTATAAAATTCCATGGTGCCCTTTAGACACATACCGTGTGATTTATTAGTGTAGTATTGCACAATCAGATTTGGGCCAGAAGCTCTTTTATTGGCTCTGAGTGAGCGCTTCAAAATGGCTAGTTGAGTTTATTATTGTAACAAGTATATGTAAAGGTGTAAAGCAAGGCATATGATATCACACAGCCCCAAAGGAAAGAACTGAAAACTGAAGTACATACGAACAACAAAACACTGATTCTGTTGACGGTGGGGAGCGGAGGGGGAATGGGTCATTATATATCTCCCCACACTACATTTTTCCTATGAAGGTAGCATGGATTAGTGTGGTGTTCATGTCTCCAGCTGCAGTTACTAACTGGTTGCTGGCAGGTATCTGACAGCTTTTTCTGTCCATCTGCATATGTAACTCCTGCAGCCCAAGCAAGAGCGAAAGGCTTATATTGCTGTTTTATTTCCTGACTGGTTTCATTTGCGCACATGAAGGTCTTTCGAAGCCAGCTGTGATGGAACCACCAAATGGAGCTGATGAGCAGCAGGAACTGCAGAGCAAGGCAGAACAATCTCAGAAAGGTTCTTCGAGGAGGACTCCAGAGCATAGCTGGGTGGCTTGGTGGGCCGGAGGAATTGCGTATCTGTTCGCCCTGTCACAGATATTGGTAAGGATCCGGACTTAACTCAGATGGAGATCGCTTTTTTTTAAAAAAAAGAAAAGGACACCATTGCTTTTGTTTTTTTTAGATTCATACATTTTAGGGGCCAGATTTCCCACATCATATATGCTGATATAGCTGAAATTATGTCAAAAGCTGTGCCATGTTACAACCAGGTAATAATCTGTTTGTCTTTTTATTCCAGTTAATGTATGCAGCCTGCAAAAATGCCTGGCTCATACAAAAACAATTTTTTGTATTTTATCTCTGTTTGCACTTTAAACAAATGAACAAATGAAAACCAATTGGTTATGCAGGCTTGAGATTAAAATGAAAATTTCACTTTCCTGATGATGAAAGCTCATGATGAATTATTTGATTGACTGCACAGGTTATCTCCCTTATGTTTTGGTATGGTGGCTGTGAAACAATCCCAGAGTTTCTGGAGGTTTTTGAGATATTGTCCGATCTCCTTGCTTCACCTGGACAATTGTTTACAGATTCTGACAAGGTATGTTCAGTGATATCTCTATCCGTTTAATGCAGAACATAGTGGCTCCCAAACTGTGGAATGATCTTTCATCAGATGTCAAAGAGATAAATGATTATACGACCTTCCATAGACATCTGAAGGCATCCCTGTATCAGGAAGCTTTTAATGTGTGATGTTCTGTTGTGTTTTTGTGTACGTATTCTGTTGGAAGCCACCCATAATGGCTGGGGCAACCATTATTGTTGTTGTTGTTGTTGTTGTTGTTGTTGTTGTTGTTTTATTTATTTCACTCTAGACTTGCCCATTATTATCCTCCCTTTCCCATCTTTCTCTCTGCCATCTCTTGCTTTAGCTTTCCCTTGGGAGATTGGGGGAGGATCGCTTTCCCTTGGGAGATTGGGGGAGGACATGTTTCCTCTGACCTAAGTGTCACTCCCACAAGTGAGGGTGAACTGCCCCTTTGAGGAAGTTGGATTGACCGTAGAGGGCACCAAAATTCAATTCCCTTCCTCCTTCAGGGCATCCCCCACTTTCAGCGTAACACAGATCTCTATGGATCACGGGGGGTGGGGGAATGAAGGGGAGGAGAATTAAGCTCTCCCACTTCCTTGGCTCAGTGCCACTGTTGAACTCAGGAAACTAAAGTGTCTTGCTGTATTCACCACCTGAGTCCAACCCCCCCCCCCACAATGCCTTCAGGGGAAAAGCGAAAACTCTTATATATAACATTTCAGCCCCCAAAACCATTGTGAGGGATGGGTGTCAGCCACTGCAGTCCCTCTTAAGCCAGGAAACAGCTCCATGGAGCCAGCTCTGGGGAAAGCCTGCAGCCAGTATGGACAGGTGCTTCCCAGCTAGGTGCTGAGGTGGCAACAGCTCAATGTGCAACTGTGGAGCTAGCTCACGGCAGCTGAGTTGTGAATAGATTTCACAGCCCCTCTGTTTGAACTGGGCACTTCCAGTTTCATCTGTAAGCTGCCTTTGGGAGGTAGGGTTTTAAAATGCATTTATAAACCATCAGTGTAGAGACCAGGCACACCTCTATGGGGACAGCGTTTCACAGTCTAGAGTCCACCACAAAAAGCCTTGTCTTCACATGTGAGCACACATAAAGGCTGGTGATGCATATATCAATGCCTGGCAGCCTTGTATGGCTGAAAGTGGACTTCCAAATAACTTGGTTCCAAAGCACTTAGAACTGGAGCTGAGAAATGCAGTGATAACCAGCTCAGCTGGCACAGAACTGGTGTTGCATTCTCTTATCACCTTGCCCCCACCAGCAACAGAGCAGCAGCATTCTACCTCAGTTGGAGTTCCCAGACCATCTTCAAAGGCAGCCTCTCATAGAATGCATCACAGGAGCCTAACCTGAATGTGACTAAAGCATTGATTTATTTAGGCAAGGTCCAGTCTTTTAAGATAGGATTGTAGTTGGTGTACCAGCTTGAGCTGGTAAAATGCACTCCTAGCTACAGACACTACCAGTGTTGACACAAACAGCATGGTGTCTAGGAGGACACCTAAGCTATAGCACTGGTCCCATCTAGCACTGGTCATACCAGTCCACCCAGATCAGCCAGCCATCCCACCCATAACACTGTCTGCATTAGACTTCAGCTTAATTCTAAAGTCATCCCCAGACACCTGTTCAGGAGTTTTACAGCCTCCCTGAGATTTGCAAATGGAAATGAGAAATAAAGCTGTGTGTCATCACATCCACATATCGTTGACACCTCATGTGTGGAATTGTTTCCACAGACAGAGCAGTGCCTTTTAAGTCCATATTTTCTTAATGTGGGACCTTGCAGATAGGGGATCAGATCTCCCGTCTCCTTAAAATAATTTAAGAAAAGAAATGGGGACCCTCAGATTTGGTTGGAACTCTGACAGTAAGAGAGGGGGCAAACCTTTCTTCCTGGATCCCTTTCCTGTTGTAAATTGCCCCCTTAATACTGTCAATGGGACAAATGGTTTCAGAGGAAACCCCACCTTTCCTTTTCAGAACAGTCCCATTCCATTCTGCTCCTCCAAGCTGTTTTATTTTTCTTTAAAGGCAGATGGTCTGATCAGTCACCTTCAGTGTCTTCCCTAGTTTTGTGCTTGAATTATGATATCATGTGCTAGGAAGCAGTTTCAAGTCTGATTGATCCTCTCACTACACCACAAAAGAATCACCAAGCAGAAGGAAACAATTCAGAGGCATTTGGATCAGTGGATCAATCACTCCAGTTCTAGGGATCAATTTTATGTTAGAGATAGTAGAGTCGGCATTTCTGTCCTGTTTGATGATAGCAATTGGGAAATTTGGAATAGGGGTGGGCTGAGTTTGAGTTAAAACATTTGCTTTGAATTTGAAATGTTTGCATATAATGAAGGCTCTTGATTTCTGGCCATGGATTTTTAAAAGGGATTAACTGGATAGGTAATTGAACAGCAGCACTAGGAACATTTGGACTTTTAAATACCTCCAATTAACCTGTATGGGTTTGTGTTGTTTTGTAGGATCCGAAAAGAGATGGGGGTATCATAGTGCCTTGCTTCCTGCTGTTTTTGGTTTCCTTTGGCTTGCTACTCCTAGGAATATTGGTAAGCTAACGTCTTGAATTTATTCAATTCCGATTAAAGAATTTGCTAAACAAATTGATACCTTCCAAGTTCCCTCAGAGTGTCATGGTGATGCATTTCATGAGAAACAGTTTCTAATGCCTCAATAAGCATTAGTAATTCACATGCACATGGTTTCAGCACGTAAACATTGTTACATATATATTGTTGTTAGGCTCATTCTGGGACATGGGACAATTGCAGGATTTTCTCTGGTAACTTGGCAGGAAGTGTATTTAAAAACCACTCACTAAGGATGGTAATTAATGTTAATACCTCTGTGAATAAGAATACTGATGTGGGTAGTGAGATTAGCTTTGCTGTTCAATTGCATTAGCTTTTTGCTCAGGCTTTTCTTTGCAAGATGTATTGTGAGATCAAATAAAAAGCTTTCAGAGAGTGGTGTAATAGTGCACATTAAAGTGCAAAAGACAGACTTCTAAATTCACACTGAACTGTATAAAATCACCAGAACTTGTACAATGAGCCACTCCAAGCCTGAAACAAGCCAAATCAGAATAAGCACAGTGTGATGTTTTTGTTATGATCGGTCCTACTGAATTTTCTGCAGTTTCCCCAAACTGTTTCTTGCCGTCAGAGTCAATTAAGCACAGCAACAAAGAAACAAAGTAGTCAAGATCATTATAGGTGTACAACAATGTTTTTTTTTTTTTTTTTGCATTTTAAAAAATTTTATTAATCTTTCCATATATATACATTAAATCCGTGTTTCATACATCTCATTCTTTTGGACTTCCTTCAACGTTCTTGACATTCATTCGTATTTATCTCTTTATAACGCATTCCAATCTTTCGTACTGCCATTAGTACCATCTTTCAGACATTGTTTTCCATAAGCAATACTTCTTAGTATTTTACAGTGCCTCTTTAAATCCTACTAGCGTTGTGTTTACTAAACATTTGTTCTCCAGATAATCCGCAAATTTTCCCCAGTCATCTATAAATTTTTGATCCTTCATATATCTAATTTTCCCTGTTAATTTATCTAACTCCGCATATTCCGTCAATTTTAATCTCCACTCTGTTAACGTTGGGCTTTCTTCCTGCTTCCACTTCTGCGCCACCACGATTCTAGCTGCTGTCACCGCATATTGGAAGATTTTACAATCCTTTCTTTTAATATCTTTTCCGACCATACCTAATAGAAAAGCTTCGGGTTTCTTTACAAATGTGTAGCTTAATATCTTTTGATTTCATTATAGACTTCGTCCCAGAAGCTTTTAACCTTCCCACATTCCCACCATTGGTGATAGAACGTCCCTTCTTTTTGTCTACATTTCCAACATTTGTTTTCTATTTTATACATCTTGGCTAGTTTAACGGGTGTTATATACCACCTATATAACATTTTTAACATATTCTCCCTTAACAGTACACATGCTGTAAATTTTATATTCACTCTCCACAATTTTTCCCAATTCTCCAATTGAATATCATAACCGAGGTCCTTTGCCCACTGAGTCATCACTTTTTTGACTCTCTCATCTTTCATGTTCCATTCTAACAGTATTTTATACATACTTGACAGATTTTTCCGATCACAGTTTATTATCTCTCTCTGAAATTTCGATGTCTTTTCATCGTAGCCCCTCTCTTTCACTTCTTTTTTAAATATCTCATTTATCTGGTAGTAACTCAGCCAGTCATATGTATATCTTTTTACCTGGTCGTATGGTTTAATTTTCCACTTCCCTCCTTCCTTCAATACCATTTCTTCGTACCTACCCCATTTTTTCCCCATATTGACTTTCTTTACACTTATTAACTCCACTGGTGATAACCAGTGTGGGGTTTTTGGTTCTAGTATGTTCTTATATCTATTCCAAACTTCTATCAAAGGTCCCTTAAAGATATGGCTACAAAATCCCTTATGTACTTTTATCTTATCTCTCCACAAATAGGCATGCCATCCAAATTTGTTCTTATACCCTTCTAAATCCAATAACTCTGTATCCTCCAACTTTATCCACTCTTTAATCCAGCAAAGGCATGCCGCTTCGTAGTACAGTCTCATGTCTGGCAAGGCGAAGCCCCCTCTTTCAGTGGTATCTGTTAATATCTTAAACTTAATTCTGGGCTTCTTTCCTTCCCAGACAAATCTAGAAATCACCCTTTGCCATTCTTTAAAGTTTTTTGTGCCCTTTATTATCGGGATTGTTTGGAATAGAAAAAGCATTTTGGGGAGTACCATCATTTTGACCATGGACACTCTACCCCAGAGTGATAATTTCATCCTTGCCCAAATCTCCAGATTTTTCTTAATTTCATTCCACACTGGGATATAATTATTTTGGTATAGGTCAATATTTTTATTGGTAAGCCAGAGTCCTAAATATTTAACTTTTTTAACTACTTCAATTCCTGTTTGTTCCTGTAATAATTCTATCTTGTCTTGGTCTAAGTTTTTAACGATCATCTTTTTCTTATTCTTATTTAGTTTGAATCCAGCTAACTTCCCGAATTCCTCCATCTCCTCCAGAATTCCCTTTAAGCTGTTTATAGGATCTTCTACCGTTAATACCACGTCGTCAGCATATGCTTTAACTTTGTATTCGTTTGAACCTAATGATATTCCCTTAATTTGTTTGTTTTGCCTTATTGCGTTTAGCAGAACCTCCAACACCACTATAAAGAGCAGCGGAGAGAGCGGGCAGCCCTGTCTTGTCCCTTTAGATATTTTTATATCTTCTGTTATGGCATTATTTATTATCAGCTTCGCTTTCTGTTCGGTGTATATTGCTTTTATCCCATTCCAAAATTCTTGACCCACTTCCATCATTTCTAAATTTCTCAGCATGAAGTCCCAGGTGACATTATCGAAGGCTTTCTCCGCGTCAATAAAAATCAGACTAGCTGGCTTATCAATTCTGTCCGATAAATATTCTATTATATTAATTATGCCTCTTGTGTTGTTTTTTATTTGCCTTCCCGGTAGAAAACCCGCTTGGTCCTCATGCATTATCTTCACTAATATTTTTTTAAACCTTTTTGCTAAAATTCCCGCAAAAATCTTATAATCTGTATTTAATAAGGAAATGGGTCTATAATTTTTTACTTGGGTTGGGTCAGTATCTTGTTTTGGAATTATTGTGATGAATGCCTCCTTCCAGGTGCTTGGGATCTCTTTTTCCTTTAGAGTCTTATTCATCACCTCAACTAATGGAACCGTCAATATATCTTTCATTTCTTTATAGTAGCTCGCAGTAAACCCATCTGGGCCCGGGGCTTTACCTCTTTTCAGTTCCTTTATCACTTCCTCTGCTTCCTCTCTGGAAATGGGGGCATTTAACATTTCTCTTTGCTCTATCGAAATCTTCCTTACCATTTTCTCTTTTAAATATCTCTCTATTTTCCTATTGTTGTTTCTATCCTTATTCCTGTATAGTTGCTCATAAAACTCCGCAAATCCTCTTCTAATCCCTTTTGGTTCAATTATCTCTTCTCCGTTTATTTGTATTTTGTTTATTGTGTTTTGTTCCTTTCTCTTTTTGACTTGCCACGCAAGCCATTTTCCTGGCTTATTAGCAAATTCAAAATTTCTCTGTCTTAATCTTTTGATGTTCCACTCAACCTCCTTATTTATCAACATTGCAAATTGGGTTTGGAGGGATTTTATTTCCTGCAATATCCTTTCATTATTTGGTTTTTTAATTAGTTTTTGTTCACAATCCATAATCTGTCTCAGAATCTCCTTAGTTCTTTTTTCTTTATTTTTCTTTTTCCATGCATTTTGTTGGATGAGCAGGCCCCTCATGACTGCCTTACTCGCGTCCCATACCACGTTTATTTTAACCCCTTTATCTTGGTTATCTATGAAGTACTCCAATAATTTCGTCCGAATCTTTTCCACAAATTTTTGATCATCCCATAAGTTATCATTTAATCTCCATCTGAAAGTTCGTCCTTCAACCCCCTTCATCTCCATTATTATGGGGTTGTGGTCGGAGATAATTTTGGCCTGTATTTCAATTTTTGTAGTTCTTACTGTTAGTTCATTTGATATCCAAATTTGGTCTAATCTTGACAGTGATTCATTCGGTCCTGAATGAAATGTAAATTGTTTCTCCATGGGGTGTCTCAGTCTCCATATATCTACCAAGTTATAGTTCTTCACCATTTCAAAAAATATCTTAGGTAGTTTCCCTCCTTCTGTCTTAGTTTTCCTTAATCTATCTATTTCTGTTGAGACCACCCCGTTCATATCTCCCATTATTATGATTTTTTGGTCCATGTAGTCAAATAATCTCTCTTCCAATGATCTGAAAAATTCTGTTTTATTGCCATTTGGTGCATAGACTCCCACTATTATCATCATTTCCCCTTGCCATTTAATGCGGACTGCGATCATTCTCCCTTCCTCATCCTTAAATAGCTGGTGTGTTTCAATGTTATTTTTAATATATAATACTACTCCTCTTTTTTTCTTTTTATCGGAGGAGATAAACTCATTTCCTAGCCTCTTATTAATAAGGATTTTCTTATGTTTACTGGCCACGTGGGTTTCTTGAAGGCATATGATATCTAAATTTTTCTTTTTTAGAATGCGTTCAATTCCATTGCGTTTTTTCTTATCATTCATTCCGTTAACATTCCAACTCCATAGTTTTAAAGACATATTGTTTTAGGTGCTACTCTGAGTTAGGTGTTACTCTGTAACCTTTCTGTTTCCTCTCCTTCTTCCTCCTCTTCTTCTTCTTCTAGTTCTCCTCTACTTTGTTCTTCCTCTTCACCTAACTCTAAATCCTCCCTCAATCTAGATCTACCTTCTGCACCCTTCTCCTCTTCCTCTCCCACTTGGAGCTCTTTATATCTTCTTGTGAATTTTCCTATTTCTTCGGGACTAGTCAATCTTCTTTTAACACCTTTATAGAAGAAAGAGACCCCTTCCGGAAATTCCCATCGGAAGTCAATTCTATTCTTTTTAAGTAGTTGAACTAGTGGTTTATACGATTCCCTCCGTT